TGGGCGAAATTGCGCTGGCTGCTCCCTCGCCTGGTGGTGGCACTCCGCCGCATGGGACATTTCTCCCTCGTCCCGGCTCCCTCGTCAAGAAGAAAATCCACAACGCCTTCGAAGCCGCCGAAGCTCCTCTCTCCGGCAATGGGAAACGATATATTGACGGCCGAACATCTCAAACCCGAAGATTTCTTGCGGCGGAGACGAGTACTTGCGGTGACAGTTTGGCGCAAATTTATCAACGATGGTGGAAGTGGCCCCGGTTTGTCGCGGCAGAGATTGGGGGTTCGGCGGGATTTTACTCACAGTGACGAGCACACTACTTTTTTTTGTAATAAACACCTAGAGCTGTTATTTGGAACCCCTAGAGCTTCCGCACTCCTTTATCCGATTATCCCCGTGATCAGAAGCCAGTCGGAGATCGAAACAAACGCAAAAAAAGTAGATCTACATTAAACCTTTTTACAAGATCCAACAGATACGTGCCTTTGGTAATCACCTCTCCTTCATAGATCCACCTGCAAGGCTCATCGCCTCTCCTTCACCCTCCAACAGATCCAATCCAAACAAAAAAACCATTATTCCCCGTGTTTTCTCCGTCGGTCATTGCCTTTCGCAGAATGACGTAATCCCCCAGATGACTACCCTTGTTCAAAACAGAGCATCTCGGGATCGAACGGTCGCCGGCTGAGCTAACGACTTGGAAGAAGTTAGAGGAACCCAGGCTCAAGCTTCAGTTCATCGTCGGAATAGGCAGGTTAGGGAAGACTATTTTGGCCAAGCACATGTACGAAGCCACCGGCGGAAAGTTTGATTACTGGGTTCGATTGAGGTTTCCAAGTCGCAGAGAAGGAGCAAGCTTTTCCTCAATAAAATAAAAAATTAAAAGGAAATTCAAAATAAGTGACTTGGGTCAGTTGGGTTGGATATTGAGCTGATTAGACGGTCAACTTGCATGATTCAGCTTTTTTGTTAGCTCATTTGACAGTTCCGTTTGCCACGTCATAAAAAATCTAACGGTGTTAACGGAGACTAACGGCCGGTGATTAATGGTGACACAAAGCGTAAAGTTAATGGTCAATAAGAAAGAAAAGTAATTCGGGTGGCAAACATGAAAGATTTATGTAATTTGAGTGACCAAATGTGTAATTTAGCCCTTTGAAATTATATGATTGCATTGCATACATTATGCTAAATTCGTTTGATAAATTGTTAGTTATTACTGATTTTGAAATTGAAGGTCCCTTTAAATTTCTTAAGTAGCCAATTATTGCTATTATAGAAAAAAAATTTAGTTCGTACATTTTTTTTGGGTGATAAAACAAAAACATCGAGGAATCAAAATCTTGATCTAACAACTAGATTAACATGTTTCTATGTAACCCAGAAGTAAATGCAAGCAAAACTCTGTTGAGTTATATAACATAGATGATAGATGTACTATATATATATATGATGTAGTATGTTTCTCTTGCCATTACTAATATTATCAAGGTCATGTTAACTAGATGATTTTCTGTAGCCAGATGAGATGTCCGAAATAGACGTATCATTCTTTTTTTTTTTGTGGAAATAGACGTATCATTCTTAACATTTGTTTAGATTTTTTGCTTAGAATATGGTTTCTATAAGTAAATTGTTTTGCTCCTGTTCAAATTCAACCCATGACATTCAACCTAGCTAGCTATGCACATGAATATTTCCATTTTTGTACGTAGCTTTAGTTTATATGTATTTAAATGTAGCTTTTATGAAGTTGTTTGTATATATTAGCACTATGTTATGCAAATTTCTTGATGTGTAAACTGGTAGGGTTAATTTTATTGTGTCTGACATATGTACAGGTAAAAATCCATATATGACATTATATGTTTATATGGTGGTTGTTATATAACAGGTTTCTATGTTATATAACAGTAACATAATCCTCCATAAGCTTGAGGTCGGTTTACATCGTCGTGGTCGTCAACCGAAATAGAACCTCACAGTACCTTTGCATATTGATCAAAATCACCATAAAGAAAGAAAAGAACACTAATTAGATAAAAAGACCAAAGAAGCAACTTATGTAATAATAATCAAAATAATAATTTTTATTGCTACATACGATATCCAAAACTGAACATTACCACGATTCACAACGTGGCGGGCAAGCTGTAATGCACAAGTGGCTCGAGGAAATCATAGATGAACATGGGAGCCAAGATGGGCAGCAACCTCCAACACACGGCGAGGAGCTCCTCCATCAAAGTGGCAAGACCATTGTTAGGGTACGTCATTAAAGACACGTAGGTCAGAAGGTCTATCCATGACAAAGATTGAAGGCACTAAACAATAAAGACCATGTCAAAATTTTCTTCAACTGGGGTCGGACCAAATTTCGTCGCAGCTCTTGCCAAATCGCGTGAAGGTCCTATAACACATCGTCGAAATTATCATCTTCCATCATCGACGAAATTCTAGCAGCCCCTCTTAAGCGTGTTCCAACTTCCTCTATGGTTTCCAAATTTTGTAAAAGGGCAACTTATGCGTCCGTAACTCGAGCCTATCGAATCAACCAGCTGGGAGATTCAGGTAGGAACATCATACCCACCTATAAAATCAAGGATGGGCTGATGCCCACACTAGCCTTTAATGAAAGCTTGTCGGCAAGTCTTGGACCACAGTCCGGGTCAACACAGCCAGCCACAGCCCTAAGACCGAAACTATCTGCAAGGAAAGGAAAATATACATGTAATCATAATAATTTGTAAAACAATCTAAATCAAGAAGATGAACACCGAGTTTTTTAACGTGGTATCGTCAATGTGACACTAGTTTACGGAGAGAATCTCCCTCGGATTTGAATTTTTGGCTAATTAATTACCAGAATTATTTTAATTAATTAATTAATTCGGATAATTATTTGATTTTTGACTTATGTGAAACGACATATAACCCTTCGGAAGGGAACTGCCGTTTTCACTATAAAAGTCTTCTGCAGCCAAACTTCTCGTCCAACGTTCATCTTCTTCTCCTTGTTTTTCCTTCTCCAAAAAACACAAACACATAAGTCACGAAAGTTGCTGCTTTCTGACTTTGATTGGAGGGACTCCTGGGGGTGGTTTGCCTAAATCCTACCAGCAACTAAGTAGTGGGGGCAAATAAACACTCTAAGGAGATCAGTGATCAAATCACGCCTTCAATCCGTTTTCCCCATACGGTTTCCCTGACAGTACTAGGCAAGAACGTGACTATAAGATTGGACCATTTGCTTAAAATGTGTGAGATGACATCAGCTAGAGATGCTGCCATTGCTATAGAAGCTGGAGCTTATTTTATTGGAGCAACCCCAGTTGGTGTATTCGTTGATGATGATGCAGATACTATAATACGAACTGAAGAAGTAGCTGATCTAGATCTATACAAGTATGTCTAGAATCTTCTAACTTTCAAATATGCTTTGTACTATGCATACCAACTTCGTTTCACCCATCCATTTTTTTGCAGCTTCGTGTATGGGACTGGCACATGCACCCTTCGGCATTTCATGTAGTAATATCAATACAAATCAGATACAATGAAGTTATAAATCCTAGCAATGTGTAGGATCGTATTTCACAAGTTTCTAAAGCATAAGTGCTCACATCTAACTATTCATATCTCGACACACAAAGCAATAAAAGGTAGATATGTTTAGGTGGTTTTCTAGTTTATATAGGCAAGGTAAAGAAAAAACAGAAAAGTAAAGATACGTCATTAAGTAGAAGGATCACTCTATATAAACACGCATCTCAATTTTTATTCATATCATGCATTTCAACTATTAATCTATTGTACCACTCTATCCCTTCTACTAAAACATTTCTAACCGAACTTTTGCCAAATGCGAGAGGAACAATAGCTAGCTAATGCGTGCTTTCGCTTTATGTCATCAACTAACTAATAAAGAACAAAATAGTAAGGATATCACTTAGGGTCGTTTGCTTCGTGGATTTGAAAAATGAAAGTTTTGATAAAATTTGGGTTTTGTAACACCATGGATATATGAGGGTTTTGAGTTCATCATGGACTTGAAAAATACCATTGTTTGTTTCATAGATTTCATGATGGAATTGATTAATTAGATTTGTATGTATGAAGAGAAATTTACATTTATTGAGCTCATTGGTATGAGAAGAGAAATGAAATATGAGGTAGTTTGGTCTTAAATGATGGACTTCAAAGTTCATGATCAATTCCCAATTTCCCATCTAAATAGATGGAACTTTCAAATCCGTGGGGCCACGGATTTGGACCCTTAAAGTTCGTGGAACCCATGGATTTGTTGCACCTAAGGGCTCGTTTGAAACCTCCGATTCCAGATGTTGTATTTTCAGTATACATGTATCCTGAGAATACAACGTTTTTTTGACTTGATGTAATAGCAGAATGCATGTATTCATAATACATGTTGTATTCCTAATACATAAAAAAATGATGTATTCATAATCTTACCTATTTGGTGAGATGAGTATCCATAGTTCATTTAAACTATAATCCATGCATTCTTTTATGGGTTCCAAACAATGAATTTTCAAACCCACACATTCTTAATATACACATTCTCGTAATACATCATTTCCAGAATCAAAGATTCCAAACGACCCCTAAATGTATGAAGCAAACAATTGATTTTGGACAAAGTCCATGATAACACCAAATCTATCACCACTTCCATCAAGCAAACAAGAAGTGTTGGCCTCTTGAGCCATAACATAGGGTCTATAACATTGATGATATAAAGATATTAAAGCATGATTTTGACTGCATTGATCGAGACTTTACGCGGATCTTAATAGTATTTCTATTTGGCAAAGTTTAAAGATGTGGATAATGATTTTAATAGCTTTGAGTTAGTAGTAGTTCAATGCCTGAATATACCTATGCAAAAAACCCAAAGAATAGACATAAGATTGTACTCCAAGGAACTTCAAAAATTATAAATCACAAAATGTCATATCGTCAAAGTTATTGCAGCTGGTTCTGCACATCATCAGCAGAGACTGATTCTTTTCACATTGAGAACAAAAGAAAATCAAAATCTGCATTGAAGAAACAGCAAAAATAGAGAGATGATTGAAAAGTAGTGATAGACAAGAGCCTGGGAAAAGAGGAAGACAACATACCAGGAATACATCAGTCGTTCTGTTTCTTTTTTTATACATATATTATTATTTGTACAAGAAAACCAGTCAGAAGTTCATTCATGGAGAGAGCTCCTGTACAGAAGTAAGACTAGGCTCCCAGCTCAAACCTTTAAAACTCCTCGACCTCGGAAGAGGAGGGATGAAAGGTTGTCTTTTTCTAGACCTCACGTTCCTTGTCTTCCTCTCCGAACACCTCGACCACATATCCTTTGAAGCATAGAAATCTCTTGCACGACAGACATTCTCCTCCTCCGAAATATCTTGTTCATCCCAAGTTATGTTCGCACCAGATCTGGTGTCTTTAGTGTCACAAAGTTCCAACCTTTCTTTTGTCGTCGTCCCATGATGACGATGATGTCTTCTGTGATGCTTCAGTTTCTCAGCTGTGGTTGACGGAATGATCAGGTACTTGTTGCCAGGCAACAGATTCTCTTCTGGCCACAGAATGGAATCTTCAGGATTCTGGAAAACATCTTGCCTGGCGACATGAGTCCCTGGGTACTTCTCCATGACTTGCTGTGCTGAAAGAGCATACTGGAAACTCTCCTCTTTCCCCCCTGGATGAACTATCCTCACAGAAACGTCCTTGGAGTTGGCACTGAATTCTAATGAAACTGAAACTCCACCGCCTGTTAATTCCTCTGTTGTTAGCTCATGCTTTCTTCTTCTGGACTTTTTCCCACTGTCCAGCAAGCAACAATAACCCGTCACCATTTCTGCCAGCCTGCAATCCCCCAGTTCGAATACGTCTACTAATTGAACATATTATTATCCAATAAGAAGGTGAATATCACTAGTAGAATGAGATTTGATGAAATCAAGCTATAGCCTTGGGATTCAACGACCAACAACAAGAAACCTGGTCTTTGTCTTGTTCCCCCAGGCGTGGATTTCAAAGTTTAATGGATAGGAAAGGAGTTTGCGAAGCCACGCTTTCTTTTGGACAGGGACAACTTTTCATGAGGTGTGCAAGACAAACACATTCTCTTGCTACTATCATACTCCCACAAGCCTGACAAAACTTGGCGCTCAAGCTTCTTCAACCTTCCATTGATCCAGTTGTTGTGAAGAACAAAGCAGCTTTTCTTCATGCAAGCTTCTCTCACGACATCTATCATCACTGATTCGGTTTGATCCACCTTCCCCACACAACACCTCATAGAAGCTTGGCTGCTCAGAAAGGGTTGATGTGGATGCATGATTCACTACCTTTTCGATAGCAGCAATAGTTGGAGCATTAGAACGAGCAAAGTAGAACCCAGAGTTCAGACGTCTAGGCAAGTTTATAGGTCCTGTTTGGTTGTATTCTGTCTGACTGAGCAACAAGGGTGGTTGGACCGAATGAGCGAACATATTGAAGTGGGTTTTCGAACCAGTAGACATCTACATCACTGAGAAGTACATTGTAACCCATCTTCAGTATCTTCAGAACAGTTCTGGATTTTACTTTTGTGACCTTCTGGAAGCATTTTGTTCCGAAGTGGCAATCATTGAAGCTGATGTTACTTGGTGCTGATAGATCATGGAAAACAGGCAAACCCTAGAAGAAGAATAACAGTTTTACAGTTCAGGTACATATGGCAAACAGTATTTTGGCAAAGGAGAATGCCAAATTAAGTATGTTGCACCAAGATTGAAACTGTGAAAATTGTAGCTAAAGCAACTACAACAAGTTATCTCCATCACTGCTCATTAGGGGATATATCCACAGGGGACAACTCAGTGTTCTCTTTCGTTAAAGGGCTCTGTTGCAAGCCTTCCCTGGCTAAGGGAAACTAAGTAATACTTAATTATTACTCAATTAATAGACGTCTCAAGCTCTCCTCGTCATCAGGCGTTGGAGAGTACAATAACATCCACACGACAAAATGATAAAAATTCGGTTTACTTCTTCACTAGTGGGCTCTATTGCGGCCCTGGTTGCTTATGTTAATTGATATCCACTGAGGAGTGACTACCAAGATCAAAATCCATTATTCCTAGGGATTTACTCAACTTTATTGTCGTCACGGCCATAACAGACAATACTATTTACCAAGTAGCGTTATCAATGAAGTTCTAAATCATCACAAAGCCAACCATAAACCCGAGTCTCAACCATAAAAGAGAAGTTTAAGGCAACAGATCAGGTTAACCCTCAATCCAATAAATATGAGCAAAAAATGAGACACAATTCCTTACTCTATGAGACATAAACGCAAAAAGGTTGAGATTTTGAGTAAAAACATACAGAATGAAGCATACCTGTAAAACAGAAAACTCATAGGTTTCTTGGTCCAAAGCACAAATGATGAAGTTGGTGATCCTCAGGCGGCGTAGTCTGCAAACCCAACTCATCAGCATGTCCTTGTAACTGTACCCAGCAATAGCAAGCACAACTGTTTGTGTCTCATCAGCAGCTATTGCAAGCAGCGATTCCAATGAGGCCTGGTATTCCAATGGCTGCAAATTCCTCAACTCATCTCCTACCGAGCAATTCAACATTGACTTGCTCAATTTGATTTGTTCAACACAACCCATCACTCTCTTCCTTTCCTGTGCAGCCAAAACCCTTCTATTCCTCGCTATATGGTCAGTGCCATTAATGAAAAGATATTGGTCATCACATTTCATAAGCTTTGCCAAGGTGGAATAATTAATTTCATGGAAGAGCAATGACCCATATAGTGCCCCAAGGTGTAAGTTGGCAACTGCCTCCCAGCTTCTATTCTCCATAGCTAAGCTACTACCGGGCCTCTGCATTCGATCAGGCTTGTTAAGGAAGGCGCCTGAGATGACCGAGCTAGCATCAAAGACAAATCTCAGTTCGGAAGCCACAGCCTCAATAACAAGCCAGTGGTCGTGAATCCCCTTACCAAACAAGAAGGGGGAAGGACTCCATTGTGTAAAGGCACATTTCCTGAGTTCCAAGCCATAAGCATACTCCTATCTTCACAATGCCGATTCTGGCCAAGCAACTCCTGCAACTAGAAGGAATTAAAAGTGGTGTCAGCATGCTGATTCAAGGGTGTTTCCAGTTTTCTGTCTGAACTAGTATGTAGTCTCTTTGAATTCATACCTCATCAAGTTCCCACCTTTATTTATAAAAAAAAAAAAAAAAAAAGTTCCCACCTTCTGCCATTTTCTATAAGCCAATGTTGGCCGTCAACACCCAGTTTGAATGGGAAGAATGAAGTGTCTTGTAATGAAGCCGCAAGAAGCCAGTTACGGTCGAGCTTGTGAGCAAAACTCAACGTGGGAACAAGATCAGGCAGAAGAACGGTTTGTGAATCTACAAAGACAATAATATCTGTATCGAATGCGTGTGATCTTTCCACCATGGAATGAAAGAATGGCGTCCCAAGGAACCTTTCAAAGAAGCACCAAGCAACAAACATGTTGCCCAGATAAGCAAATTACCTAGCACTTCCAATTTCAGGAAAAAAGGAAGCAGAGTTTGAAATGATAGCTTACGTGAAATCAATGGCGGAATCAACCAAAACTCGTGGGCCAAACCCCGAGGCGAAAGAACGAATAGAAGGGTGTTGGCTAAACAGAACAACTGTAATTTGAGGAGACAACCCAAGCCATGAACGAACAGCAAGGCTTTGTTTTGGACCAATGGAGGTAGTAGCAGAGAATACAGTGATCTTTGGATTGTGTAAATCCATTGAGTCTAGGGATGGCAATTTACCCACCCATGGTTAATTTTGCCCAAACCCAAGTAGACCCATTTATTATGGGTAGGGTTTGGGTGATGTGTGTGTATGGGTTTGGGGTTTGTATATGGGTTTGGGTTAGATATGAATATTATCTAAATGGGTATGGGTTGGATATGGATATCCATTTTCTTGAAGGTGTTTTAACTACACATGCAAAAATTGGACTTATTTGTAAAACTTGAAAAATTTAGGTACCAAAATGTAAGACCAAAAAAATTTAGGTACCAAAACGTAATTTTCCATTGATATTTTGAGGACTTATATGCAAAAAAAAATAAATTTAGGTACTAAATATGCATATCTATTAAGTTTAGGTACCAAACTGTAATTTGTATTTGGGCATGGATACAAACCCAAATCCATTTGTTATAAACCCAACCTAGCCCAAAGTAAATGGGTATGGGTACAAACCCATCAAACTTTACCCATATCCATATATTTGGATTTCATACCCAACCCAATTGGGTTGGATAGTAAAATACCCATGGCTATGGGCAAAATTGCCATCCCTAATTGAGTCCTATCCGAATTAAAACCGGGTCTTAGTGATCGCATCCTGAAGTGAAGGTAGCTTGCGGGTGGCATATATGGAGAGAACAATAAGCAAGGACCCATATAACCAAATCCACCATATACCCACTCGCAGTAACAAAGGAAATTGGAGTGATAAAACCTAGCTTACTTTTCTCATTACTTACACTGCCAATTTATAGGCAGAACCAGGAACAAGATGACAAAGTTCATACATCTGTTTTGTAGCTTGGAATGGAAACAACTATTGTCTTGGAACGAAAGAAAATACAGCCATCAACTGGGAAAGAGTAATACGCAGCACATTAGATCAAACGGCATCACAGCAAAAACATCTCGGCTTGGTTCCAAACGACAGCGCAGCAGGAAAGGAAGAAACGGCAGCGCAGCGTCAAGTTCCGGATTGAGGTAGAGACGACGACGTATGGAAAGTGACCGTTGAAAATGATTTTTCAATCTGTTACCCCCCCCCCCCCCCCCCCCCCCCCCCCCCCCCCCCCCCCCCCCCCCCGCAGGCTGGTGGGCAGAGGTTTCGCACACCAAGCTTGGAGAGCAATGTGCTGAATGGAGCTGGAGAAAGTGGTTTGGTGAAGAGATCGGCGAGCTGGTGAGAAGAGGAGATGTGAAGAAGTTTGAGAGTACCAGTTTGGAGCTTCTCTCTGACGAAGTGACAGTCCAATTCGATGTGTTTCGTCCTTTCATGAAAAGTGGGGTTCTTGGCGATGTAGATGGCACTTTGGTTGTCGCAGTAGAGGTTGGCAGGAAGCGATGTGGAGACCTGGAAGTCTTGGAGGAGATATTGAAGCCATTGGATTTCAGAGGCAGTGAAGGCAAGAGCGCGATACTCAGCCTCACAGGAGGATCTGGAAACGGTATGTTGCTTCTTGCTTTTCCATGAAATGAGAGAATCTCCTAGATATATGCAAAAACCTGTTGTTGATCGTCTTGTGTCCACACAGGCAGCCCAGTCTGAATCTGTGAAAGCTTTCAATTGAAAGGAACCCTTGGAGGGGAAGAAGAGGCCTGATGCTGGTGCTGATTTGAGGTATCTCAGAACCCTCAAAACAGCCTTGTAATGAATTGTCGATGGAGAGGTCATGAATTGGCTTAACTGCTGTGTTGCAAAGCTGATGTCTGGACGAGTAGTTGTCAAGTAGATTAGCTTGCCTACCAGTGTTCTGGATCCTCATATGGAGTGCTTTCATCATTGCTCAGATGTAATTTGTAGTCCATTGGAGTAGTGACAGGCTTGGAATCTAGAACATTTGCTTCTTCTAGTATTTCCAGTGTATATTTCCTTTGTGATAGAGGCTGCTGTACAAGAAAAAAGAAGATGGAAAGTTACAAACTTTACGAGGTAAGAGACTAAGAGGGGAAACGGGGAAGGGATGAGAAGAGAGAGGTGAAAGTTGAAACCTTGGTTGTTCTCTGTAACTGGGAATGGCGAAAATAGGGTCAAAATGACCGTGCTTTTCTGTACATGGGACTCTGAAAATTGAAAAGGAGGAGAAGAGTTAAAGAAGAATTGCAACTTTAACTGAGTAACGACCCCATCAGGCCGCCATTACCGTTCCCACTGCCGACACGGAGAGTTGCCTTGCCTGTGACATGTGAGGAGTGCAATCAATATCACATCACCCTTCCACATTTCATGCTGCGCTGTGCTCTCTCTCCTTTTCAATCTGCTTTCCTCCATCTCACCATGGAGATATGAGAAAGAAAGTCAGAGGAATGCTTTTGTTGACTTCCGTTTCAACGTCCAGATTGAAGTGGCTACTGATTCTCATTGCAATTTGTGGTTTACAGTGGTGGATTTATACACGTTGGGAACTAACAGAAAATAACAAAGTGGGAGAGATTGAAGGTGATGGATGCTGTGAGTTAGGAACTGTATCGGAGTGGGCTGTTGGGTGTAACAGAACCCGTTTGACGCGATGTCCTTATCACGCCCCCGCAAGTTGATGGTGGATTACCTTCAACTTGTTCTGAAAGTGAAGAAACCTTTGTCGCGGAAGAGGCTTTGTCAGCAGGTCAGCAATCTGGTCGTCGATGACGATATATCGAACTTGGAGACAGCCGACTGCAACGCGTTCGCGGACAAAATGAAAATCAATTTCCATGTGTTTGTTGCGGGAGTGGAACACTGGATTTGCTGTGAGATATGTGGCGCCGATGTTGCCGCACCAGAGTCTTGGAGGGCAGGGGAGAGTGACATTGATCTCGGAGAGAAGAGACTCGATCCAAACAATCTCGGCGGCTAGTGTTGCCAAGGCTTTGTATTCAGCCTCTGTTGAGGAACGAGCGACCGTGCGCTGCTTGCGAGAGGACCAGGAGATGAGATGAGATCCAAGATAAGCTATATAGCCAGTGGTGGAGCGTCGATCAGTGACTGAATTCGCCCAGGCGGCGTCAGCATAGCCGGAGAGAAGCAGAGGAGAGGTGTTGCCAAAGAAGAGTTCGTGAGTGGTTGTGCCTGTAAGATAGCGAAGAATTCGCTTCACATCGGTCCAGTGTTGTTGGAGTGGATTATGCATGTGCTGAGCGCAGTAGTTAACCGCTTGTGAGATGTCTGGTCTGGTGAACTGAAGATATTGAAGAGCCCCGACAATCTGCCGGTATAGTGATGGGTCGGATACCAGTGTGATGTCGAGGTCTTTGGGTGCTGGTGCTGCTGGTGTGGAGAGAGAGTTCGCATTCGTCATTTTTGCACGATGAAGGATAGCCTTGATGTACTTTTGCTGTGTGAGGAGGAGACCTTTGGTGGTCCAGTGAGCTTGGATGCCAAGGAAGTATGAGAGCTGGCCTAAGCCTCGAACTGCAAATCGATCCTGCAAGTAGAGAAAAAGGGATTGCAAGGCAGACTCTTGGTTGCCAGTGAGTAGAATATCATCGACATAAACAAGCACGTAGAGACGGGTTGAGCCGCAGCTAAGGATGAATAGAGATGAATCTGTCTTGGATCTGTGGAAGCCATAGGATTCCAATGCCTGTCGAAGACAATGAAACCAGGCCTGTGGTGCTTGCTTGAGGCCATAGAGTGAGTTGCGGAGATGACAAACATGAGAGGGGTGGGCTGGATCGATGAAGCCGGGAGGTTGCTGCATATAAACATCCTCTGTGAGGTGCCCATAGAGAAACGCATTGGAGATATCCAACTGTCGAACCGACCACCGTTGAGAGACAGCAAGGGTGAGTAGTAGACGGAGAGCTGTGGGCTTTAGTACAGGGCTGTATGTCTCGCCGAAGTCCAGCCCTGGTCGTTGTTGGAAGCCGCGAGCCACTAGGCCCGCTTTGTATCTCTCGATCGATCCGTCGGAGCGAGTCTTGATGCGAAATATCCACTTGCAAGAGATGACGTTGCGAGCAGATGCCGGGGAGACTAGGTTCCAGGTCTGATTACGGAGCAGAGCGTTGTATTCCTCAATCATCGGAGCTTGCCACATGGGATCACGGAATGCTTGGCGGGCGGTGGTGGGAATGGGTGATAAGGTTGGGGATGTTGTGAGGAAGGTTTTTGGTTTTAAATTGCTTATTTGGTGGCGGGTTTTCATGTGATAGGACGGTGGGGGGTGGGTGGTCATGCGGGACGTTGGGCGACGGCGGGCAGGAGGCTGGGTTGTTGTAGAAGACGAGGGAGGAAGAGAAGGTATGGGGTTGTAGGGTTGGGGAATGTTGGGTTTTCGTGGGATCTTAGATCGGGGATTGGTGGGAGGGTTTAGGGAAATAGTGGGCTGGGTTGAAGTGGGAGGTGGTTAGGTGACACGCTAAAGCACAACACCTAACTGCGACCAAGTGTAATCGCAGTCTGGAAATGCAGTAAATGGCAAGCTCTATTTGTCAACATGGGGCCTAGATCTACTGCCTACTCCGTGATTATTTATTATCTAGCAAATTAAGTCTAGTGATTGCGGTTTTAACTAAAAGCAGTAAGAAAGCAGGAAATTATTCGGTTTTCTAAAGCAAGGAAAGAGTCACTCGGGAATTAGTCCCCCTAGCTCCTTAGTTAGGTCACAGTTGTAATTACTTTTGGTTGCTTTACTGTTGATTATACTGCGGAAGATCCGACAGTAGCTTGGAATCTCTTAAGCTGACCAAGCCCTCTCAGTCAAACTACCCGGCAGACGACTAGTCTTCACCGGGATAGAAAGCTGAGGCTATGAAGACAAAACTCCACTACTGGAACTGAATTCAAGTAAAAAGCAGTAAATCGATTAAATCTCGTATAATCGATTCACTACTACCGATTGAAGAAGCTCTAACAACCTAATCAGATTTTATCTATCTCAGGTTGCAGTAGAAATCAATAAAAGATGATCAGGCTTCAATTGACTCAATCAAAACACTTCAATCGGTCATTATCAAACAATATCACAATCCAAACGTCGTTACAACAATGATCCCCCAACACATAGAACTAGGGTTCTTCATACCCAAGTGAGAGAGGGTTCTACTCCATAGAGAGAGAGGAAAACAGCAAACAAAGCAGTCATACTCATCAAGATGGGAAGAATCTGCTTTGGGATGATCTTCACTCCAAGGATGATTTCCAAGCTTGATTGATGAAACCCAGCTCCAAAATCACTCCTAGGAGGTGTTCTTTGCACTTTCTCTCTCTAGGGCTCTATTTTTTCTCCAGAAAATCAATTCCCTCTCCTTTGGCTCGAAATAGGGTTAAAACCAGAATTTCCTGACCACACGGCCAGGCCACACGACCGTGTGACTTTCCAGTCTGCCCGTGTGGATGTGAAAACGCCGTGTTTCAATTAAGTGGTCTTCAGGCACGCTGCACGGCCAGAATCGCACGGCCGTGTGGATTTCCAGCCTGACCATGTGAGCTCCCTGAAATTTTCACACGGCGAGTGTGGCTTGGCCGCGCAATTGAATTCCACACGGCCATACCACACGGCCGTGTGGCTGCTAGGTCTGGCCGTGTGGATTCCTCAGCTTCTCGCCAGACGTCCAACTTTCATCCAATCGATCCGAAACTCACTCCCAAACCTCCAATCACGTACTAGGACCTGAAATAACACAAACGAGAACAACAGAGCGTGAAATCGGCCTAAGATACGAGAAATGAGGCTCAAACGGCATAAGAATGGTGGATAAAAACATGTG